CCTTAGAGCCTGAAGTTCAGAGAAGGCAAAGGGGTTGCCTTGATAATAGCTTAATACCACCATTGAGGACCTATTTTCTTCCTGTTTCTGCTCTACATTCTGCAATGCCAGCTTCCTCCTACTTTCAAGATGTTGCAAACTGTTACTACTTTCTTCTTTGCTCGCACTCAGAGATAAGGAGAAGGTAGAGAGAAGGAAAACTGTTGGAGGTTAAGAGGACTGTTTCAGAAGCTTCAAGGCCCTACAAAATGTTTCCTCCTTTCCCATTGGCTTAACTTTTATCAGGTGTTGTGACAGGTCAAGAGAGTATAGCGTTTCCTCTGCCACTTCTGTTCTTGTTAAAGGCACATTAGGTTTGACTAGAATTTAATCCCCTTGATTGGGAAGCCCTGTGAAAAATTATCCAACCTGAGGTCAAGATGCCCCAGTTAACTTAGTTTAGCTTCTGTTAAATCACTTGTTTGTGCAGAAACCCCACTCCCTCCACCTAACTGCTTATCTTAGCTTCTGTTAATCTGCTTGCTTGCACAAAACCTCCCCTGCAACTGCCAAGCAAGATACTAGGAGGAGTTTTTTTTTTTTTTTTTTTTTTTTTTTGCCTTTATCTAGCCCTTACTCTAGCTGGGTGTGGTGGCAAGCCTTTAGTCCCAGTAGTCAAAGGCAGGTGGATTTCTGAGTTCAAGGACAACTTGATCTACACCTTGAGTTCCAAGACAGCCAGGGCTGTACAGAGAAACCTGGTCTTAAAAAACAAACAAACAAAACAAAAAAAAAGATAAAATAAAAACACAATTGTTAAGATTCTGTCTATGTGTTCATTTCTTATGGGCACCTCATAACAGCATCTTGTCTTTAACCAAGAACTAAAGCAACGAATCAGAATTAAGCTCATTAGTTTCAGGTTAATCGCTTCTTGCCCTTTTGGCTAAGATCAAGTGTAGTTTTCAGGTTAGCCCATATTCCTCATTATTGCAACTAACATGGTCTATTTTTTATCCAAAGCATAAATACAGTTCATGGAGATGTGAACAATGAAAGCGATGATGAGTTTTATAGAGATTATTAAAATGTGTCTGCAGCTACTAACAGAAGTCAGAAGAAGGTATCTGATCTTCTAGAGCTGGAGTTACAGGTGGGCCATATGATGTGGGTACTGGGAACAGAACCTGGGTCCTTGGGAAGATCAAAAAGTACAAGGTCTCCAGGTCCAGTTTTGTGCATTTTTATTTGATTGATGTGGGATTCCCCTCTGTATGCTGTGAGTACTATTGGTTAATAAAGAAACTGTCTTGGGCCTGTACAGAGCAGAATAGATGTAGGCAGGGAGAACTAACCTGAATGCTGGGAGAAGAAAGGCAGAGTCAGAAAAGCCATGTAGCCCTGCTGGAGACAGATGCTGGAACTTTACCCAGTAAGCCACAACCTCATAGCGATACACAGATTAATAGAGATGGGTTAATTTAAGATATGAGTTAGCCAGAAATATGCTTAAGCTATTGGCCAAACATTTTTGCAAATAATATGGTTTCTGTGTGATTATTTCGGGGCTGAGCAGCTGGGGACAAACAAGGGGCCTCTTAAAACATTTGATGAATATTTTTGTGACTTTAAATAATGCTAGGTACTTATGAAGAACACTAGTATGAAAGGGAGCATTAATAATGGTATAGCACATTGTTGGGAAGGTTAGAATAGGAAGTATTATTTATTAGGAAACCATGTAGTGGGGGGAGGGATGGACTTCTCAGATAGGGAAGGCTTCCCTTCCTGTTTAAGTGATTAACTGCAATCTGAGGCATTTGATAGGAGGAACGTAGATTTAGGGTGGAGAGTGGCTCACATATCAGAATCCTGGGGGCTTGCATATGAGTTCATTCTTTTTGCATCACAAATCGTTACCAGCTTAGCAGCTGGAAACAAGCATTTATGGCCACAAACTCTGGAAATTTGGGTTTTAAGTGCTCCAGGGTATCTCCCTTGGCTAAGGGTTTTAACACAGAGTCAGAGATTGTATTAGGGCATGAATCAAGGCCTCGGGCCAGAGCTAAGCTGTCTCCAGGTTATTCAGTGGGAGCATCTGCTTCCAAACTGTGAGGAAGAGGAGAAAGAAGGGGAGTGAGAGGAGGGAAAATGAGAGAAAGAGAAGGTGAGAAGGGAAGGGGGAGGGGAGAGAAGGGGGAGAGGAGAAAAAAGAGGGAAAGGAAATGGATGCTAGGCATGCTGGTACATTTATTATAACTCATGAACCAATATATATGATTATTAAAAACATTTGCTCCAGAGTCCAGGACCTTAGTTTTTAAACAACCTCCTCCTCCTCCTCCTCCTTTTCCTCCTCCTCCTCCTCCTCCTCCTCCTCCTCCTCCTCCTCCTCCTCCTCCTCCTCCTCCTCCTCTTCTTCTTCTTCTTCTTCTTCTTCTTCTTCTTCTTCTTCTTCGTCTTCTTACCCCAGAATTCCATCCAGGAGAGTCCATTGCATTTAGTTGTCATAATCTCTTTGGGTTCCTCTCTGCCATGCCACCTTCTCCAATTTTCCTTGCTTTTAATGACGTTGATAGTTTTGAGGCATGATGGTCAGGTTTTTTGTGGGACCTAGTAGTTTTCTGACCTAATTGCTGAGTGCAATCTCATTATGTCTATCTGTAATCTATTTGTTAAAAGCTACTGCCAAACCTAGCCACCCACATTCGGGGTGAGGGGAGGATTAAGCTGTACCTCTTGAAGATAGGAATCTAGAAGAATTTGTGGTTAAGTCCTTGGGCCTCACCTCCCAGGTGTTCGTTTCACTGGGACTGTGATGGAGTCCAAGGATTTGCATTTTAACAAGCTTCCAGGTGCTGCTGCTGTGAACGGGCTTGGCATTTCACAGAGAGGCTTGTGTAACACCTTACAGTCCTTGACAAGTTGGGAAATCTTGTGATGGTTGGAGCTCAAGAAATCTAATGATAATTACCACCGGAATCAAACTGGCTTGAGTTTCTAGATGAACTGTTATCATGTACTAAAGAGGGCCAAAAGCGTCTTATAGTTGCATTAGATAAGATTTATTTTATTTAATCATCACAAATGTAAGGGAGAGAAGTTGTCCATCTCCACCTGGCACTAAAATAACAGACACAGAAAGGCTAGGAGCCTAGTCTTAGGTCACACAGCATGCTAATGATGGGATCAAGTTTAGGGTTGAGTCAGTCGTGTGAGCCATGGACCAGCCCAGGTTTCCATTATCCAGGCTTCTTTCACATGTTCTCAACTTTTAGGACCGTGACACTCTTTAGAGAAGTATTAAATTAGGCACCTTGATTTTGAGTAATTAAAATATCAGAATAAATCTTTTTAAAGTAGCAGTTAGTGCGACAGAAGAGGAAATTATGAAAAAGCTGATGGGTGAGTTCAGAAAGATGCCACATAGGTGGAAAACCTCTCTCTCCACCAACACCCAGTTATGGTGATCTTCATCCATAACTGCTACCAGTAAAACTCCATCTGCAGGCAGCACCCATGAAAGTGAGTGGACAAGCACCGGCCCTGCCTTCTTTTTGTCTGCCCATGTGCTCTAACCGCAGCCAGCACTCTGCTCTGTTGGTAAACTGCCCTTTAGGAAGGCTGGCACTAAGTCCCCTTAGGCTTTCCTTTGAATGGAGAAGACAGCGTAGTTCAGTTATCAATCATAGTTGTACTTGGAAACGCGGAAATACCGGAAGACCACAGGAGGTTTCTGTATGCATGTGCTATTTTTCTTTAAATTCGGATAGAGTTTCAACAACAACTTTATAAAGCAAAGAAGTGGGTGCGTAAGGACCCAAACGAAGGCATAAAAGCTTTACCCTAATAATCGGGTAAAGAAGAATGGTTTTACCTTTCTTTGTAGTTGATGTTTGCACATTATCAGAAATTAAGTCAGTGTATGGCGGTATTGGCTAAAGCAAGCAGTATTTCATCTAGCCACATTTGGAAATACCGATTTTATATACTGAACCATGTATTCAAGTTCACTCTCACGCAAAGCAAATTCAGCACAGTGTAAACATAGATGGATAGCTGCTCTCAAATGGTGAAACTGAGTCAGGGTTCTATGGTTGTGAGGTGTGGTGAGATAATGGTCACTGGCTCGAATTTGAGCCTTTCCAATGGATGTGTATGTGAGGGCGTGAGGAGGGCAATGAAATATCTATGATGAATCCCATCCAACTGTTTTGGAACGCGGGGATCCAGGACGCACGGCTAGCAAGTGTTAATGACCTTTATTTCTAATGGACCCCTCCAATGGTGGTAGCAGTGAGAGGTAGCAGTGAAATACAGTAAGTGATCTAAGGATCTTGGGCAGTGATTGGCTCAGGTGGTAACTGGAGGTCTAGGGCTTAGGGCCGGTGATGTAACAATCCTTTTTTTGTAACAAACGGCCCAAAGGTGAATGAATACCTTTGGCCAGAGTGAAGGAGGGCAGACAGGAAGCAGAGCTCCTGAGGTGAGGTTTACTGAATTCTGTCCCGTGGCCGGGGTTAGGGGGAAGAGGTGGGAAAGCCAGTAGCTTTTATGGAATTCTGTGCTAAGGTACTAGTATTGTTGGAGGGGATGAAACAAACCACATAGTTAAGGGGCAAAGAATTTGAAAAAGCATAGGACTGCGAGGAACAATTTAAAGCAGAGCAGTCAGCTGATCTGAGGAGGGCCTTCCGGAAGAGGGGCCCGGGGTTGGAAAGGTTTAGGGCAGCGCTAAAGATCGTGTTTCAGGACGTGGGCTCCCGGCGTCCTCCAGGTCTCCAAGCACCTTTTGGTCTTGGAAGACCTGATCTGGGGAGGGACCGGCCACAGCCAGGCTCCCGGAGACCAGGGTGAGAGCCACGAGCGAGGGCGGGAGGTTTGTGTGTGTGTTACCGGGACTTTAAGAAAGCTTTGGCGGCGGCGGCAGCCAATCAGCGGTGCGCGCGTGCCGCCGCGTGCCCCTCGCGCCCCTCACATCCCACGCGCGCCGCGTACGTGCGGCGGCAGACCCCGCCTCTTCTGGGCGGGGTTTACGAACTCGCGGGCCGCGGGCCACGGCCTCCTTCACTGCCTTCGGTGCTTGTTTAGGTGCAGCTCCAGCCGGGGCGCTGGTGGTGCCAAGGCCGAGCCCCAGGTGGAGGTAAAGCCCCGCTGGCGCCGCCTCCGCTTGCGGCTCGGCGTCGGCGGCCCCTGCGGCTGTCCGGGACGTCTCAGCGGATGTGCGCAGTGCCCTGTGAGGATGCGGCTCTTTTACCAGCTGCTCAAGCAGCCGGTGCCCCAGCAGATCGAGCGCTACTCCCGCTTCTCTCCGTCACCGCTCTCGATCAAACAGTTCCTGGACTTCGGTGAGTGCGACGCCGTGGGGCCACTCCCCAGGGCCCCAAGGGAGTGCGGGAGCGGCCATCCCTCCCCCCCCCCCTGCCCCGCTTGCTGCAGGGGCTCTTTAGCCTCAAGGCAAAGTCCGTGGGAACCGCCTGGGCGGGGTGATGGGGGATACAAGCCTGGGGCTCTCCTGGGGCTGAGGTTTCGGGTTTCAGGAGGTGGAGGGGCAGGGCCTGACACCCCCACGCTCAGCTACGTCCAGGGACCCTCATCCCAGTCGGAACTCCCAACCCTTACTTCAGATCTACTTGACTCAGACCGCTCTGTCCTTAAAACTTGAGAAAGATCTCTTAAACGTTTTTATTTTTAGAGTTTTTAATAGTTGGGTAAGACGTGTTTAGAAACACCTTGAGGTTGAGTAAATCCTGCAGTGGCATTTTGTTCCTTTTCTACTGTTAAGGTAGCCTGTAGTGAGTGGCCTGACCTGAACGTCTTCATTATGATACCGTAAACAGTCACAGTCGTGGGCTGCAGATGCCTTAGATGTTGGGCAAGAGTTGACTTGTGGGCTCCTGGCTACAGAGCAGGGCTTCTAGGATTGCTCCAGCCTGAGTGTAAGCAAGCACCTTGCCTTGGTGTCCCTTGCACTCTGTTGGCAGCTGAGTTAGTACTTGGTTTACATGGATTGGGGTGGGAAGGGAGAGGACCCCAATAAAGCTTGTGGCCTAATTTAGCTGGGAATAGATTCCACCATCTTCCATTAACTGATCAGTCGTGTTCCCCCAGAGGATGTCATTCCAACTCCAGCAGGCGGAATGCGGTTGTGAAACACCTGAAAACCAAACAAAAATGGAATTCAGCATTGCCAAAGGAAAATCAAGATGACATAGGCTCTCCAAGCCTAGAGCGGTTTAATTCTTTTGATTTAAAAATGTCATGTGGTGGTGTCAGTTGGGTATAAAAAGTGCAAAATTGATAGAACCTTCTGGGAAGACCAGATATGCAAAATGTGATGTCTGTACTTGGCAGGGTGGGTATACAGGATGGAAAGAGGGTGTATAGGTTAAAGGTTTAAGCTGATGCCAAACTGTTTTAGAAATCAAGCTGCCAAAGACAAATGATAAAAATCTAAGACAAGTGAGCAACTGGCCTTTTCATCTTGAGTTTCATTATCAAAAGCTTTTTCAGTAGTTGGACCCTATTCTCTCTCTCTCTCTCTCTCTCTCTCTCTCTCTCCCTCCCTCCCTCCCTCCCTCCCTCCCTCCCTCCCTCCCTCCCTCCCTTCCTCTCTGGCTCTCTCGCTTGCTTGCCACTTGTAAAATTTATTTTAAACATTTTATTTATGTATGTTTTTGTGGTTGTTTGGGCACACATGTCATGGTGCCTGGTGCCTCTATAGAGGTCGGAGGACACCTTGTGGGAGTTCTTTCCTTCTATCATGTGGGTCCCAGAGATCAAACTCTGGTGGCCAGGCTTGGCACCAAATGCCTTTACTCACTGCGCTTTCTTGCCCCTCCCTACTTGCAGAGTTTTAGAGGTTTGAGGCGGATCCTGATCGCACAGCTTATAATGAAAACCTTGCTATAGCTATAAGTAGGCATGTTTTTCTAACTTATTATGAACATAGAAAACTTTTGTTAAATAAAGTGAGACAAATTGATTCTGAGTAAAAAGAACAAAGGGAATCGTGGTCACTCCCACATTCAGAGTTTGTGATCATTCTAGTAGTGTACTTGAAATTTTTGTTAATTTACGTCTCTGGCAGCTAGTATCTCCGGTGTTAATAGGCATTTTGGCAAGGACGTTATTTGAGTAGGAAAGTTGCAGGAGGGAATAGATAGTGTGGTGGTGGATAATTTATGGGGCAAGTATCTAGAAACAAATGCTCGCTATTTTAAAAGTGTTGAGATCAGTGGTTTGGGGCAGGGCCTCATGTTCTGAATTTCTGGTGTTAGTAGTGTAGGGGTGGAATATAGGGCACTGGTATTTTTAGAAGCTCCCAGGGTCATTCTAAAGTATCATCAGGGTTAAAAACCATTAACTAGATGCACTTCTGGTTCATCTGCTGTTCCTCTTACATCTATGTGGAGTATTTGTTTAAGCCTTTAAAATAAGAATTTCTTGAATTATATCTTTACTAGATTTGGTCTGCAAGAATAACAAGTATTCTAAGTGGAGTATCATTTCCAAGGGCAAGATTAAGAAAAAACTCAATGTAATTATATGTTCTTTTTTGGCTCAAAGTGACAGTTCATGGTTCTAACTTCAAAAGATGCCAAAGAAATGGGGCAGAAAAGGTCTTTTTTCTACTTCTGTTGACTAGTCTTGCAATTTTTGCATAAGTTTCACTTATACATTTATTCGCATCTTGCTTTTTAAACTTAACACAAAAGAACTTTCTTTATATGTACCTGTAAGCTTCCTTTTCATTTCTATGACTTTTGAGAGTTCCTACAGGTGTAGTGTAGTTAGACAGCCCATAATTGATGGCTTGTGGGATGTTTCTAGTCTTTGCTAAGACAAGTACTACCGTGAATTATTGTGTACATTGTAATTTCACGCATGGCTAGTATAGATAGAATACAAATTCCTAAAGGTGACCTTACTGCATCAGGAAGGATGCACATTTGTAGTTTTGATAATTCTGAACAAATTCCTTTCCATAGGAGTTGTCTGTTTATCCTGGAAGTTTCCAGGACAGAGTACCTGTTTTCCTGTACTTTTGATAGGTGAAAAGTCATGTTTACACAGAAATGGTTTTTCTTCAAGTAATGTTGATCTTTCATTGTGGACGATTCTAACATATGGAAGGGATAGTATACTGTGCTATCTGAATATGTCTGCATATGCAGACTGTTAGGTTTTTTTTTTTTTATCAAAGTTAGGTTTATTTCAGAAAGACAATTTTTACTTTTTACCCAGTACTCTAATTTTTTCTTTTGAGTTAACTTTTCTTTAGAGATTTGGTATATTCCTGTGAAACCTTCTATGGGAATCTGTGGCATTGGTCTGTATAGGTTTTCTGTGTCATGTGGAATCTCTTTGGATAGATTTTTCTAGAAAATAATTTGCATCAATATATTTTGGCCAGTTTGGATAGATGAGATACGCACAACTCCCTTCATTCCCTCTCCATTTAAAAGCCCATTTTTAATTTTGTGCTTTTAAAAAATTTCAATTTGTATTTTGACAAGTTGATAAGTGTATATAATATTCTTATTACTTTCTCCCATCCCTGCCAACCCCCATCCCACAGTTCCTTTCCTAGGTTCATGACTTTTGGGTTGGTTTTATGATCCATTTAATTGAACCAGAGCTGTCTGTGTAACCATTGGGTTGGAACTTGGTAGGGCCGTATTTATTTATTGAGGCAGGGTCTGACAATCCCTGTATAGACCAGTCCTCAAATTCAGATTTGCCTACCTTTGCCTCCTGAGTACTATGATTAAAGATATGTGCCACCATGCCTAGCTATATTGTTTATTTTTGGAGCAGTCTTACTTTCTAGTCCAGGCTAATCATGAACTCAGAGTCCCTCTTGATGGTCTTCTGAGTGCTGGGATTACAGGTGTGCACCACTATATGCAGCTTTGAAGTAGTTTCTTAATGGTTTCCCTTTCTTTCTTGGTTTACATCTTTATTCTCCATCCTTCTCCCAATCTCTATTTTAGGTAGAATTTCATTTTACTAGAACTCACCTTGTAGTACAAACTGGCCTTGAACTCTTAGTGATTCCTCCGTTTCAACGTTTTGAGTGCTGGAGTTACAGGCAGGAGGCACCAGACCTGACTTCCACCCTTCCACCCTCCCTCCTCCTCCTCCTCCTCCTCCTTTTTTTTATTTTTTTTTATTTTTTTATTTTTCGAGACAGGGTTTCTCCATAGCTTTTGGTTCCTGTCCTGGAACTAGCTCTAGTAGACCAGGCTGGCCTCGAACTCACAGAGATCCGCCTGCCTCTGCCTCCCGAGTGCTGGGATTAAAGGCGTGCACCACCACCGCCTAGCGAAAACCTGGTCTTCTAGTTTGATTCTATTGTTCCATATAGCTCATAGTTTCTGTCATATGGTGGATAATATGATCCTTGATGCTTGTTAACTGTCATGTCCTCGTGGTGAGTTGTAGCTTTTAATTTCATGCTTTTTGGTCTGGATTCAGCCTTATTTGATGTTGATATTTTCAGTTTTTCTGAATTACTTTGCTTTAAATATTTTTCTAAATGTAAAGTTGGCTTTACTTTGTAACAATTGTTTTTATTTATATAGCAGTTTTAGCCTGAATGTATATTTTGGTAGAAATCAGTGTATTGGTCATACATAATGGTCAGCATCTGCAAATTTTCCCTTTTGTTTTTAATGCCTTAATTTTTCCCTTGTCACATAATTTATTTCTTTATTTTACCTTATTTTTTTTTTTAAATTTAAGTTTGATTTTTTTTTTTTTTTGTTTTTTTGAGACAGGGTTTCTCTCTAGCTTTGGTGCCTGTCCCGGAACTAGCTCTTGTAGACCAGGCTGGTCTTGAACTCACAGAGATCCGCCTGCCTCTGCCTCCAAGTGCTGGGATTAAAGGCGTGCGCCACCACCGCCCGGTTTTAAGTTTGAATTTTTATTTCATTTGTTATAATTATTTTATTTCCATAATTTTTAAAGATTATTTTATGTAAGTATTTTGCTTGCATGCACTCTGCTTGATGCCCTCAGAGGTCAGATGAGGGTGTCAGATCCTTTGAAACTGGAGTTAAGGATGGTTGGAAGTCTCTATGTGAGTGCTGGAAATAGAACTCGGGTCCTTTGCAAGAGCAACAAGTATTCTTAACTGCTAAGTCATCCAGCCCCCACTTCATTTCTTTAGACTAACTCTCCCTTTGTTCAGTTATGATCACTGCCTCTACCCACATGGCCTTCTTGAGCAGTTGACATGTGGCTAGAGTGGTGAGAAACTTAATTTAGTTGAAATTTAAAACAAACTTGATTGAATTCACTTTAAAATTCCGATGTATGTGGGTGTTCAGATGCAGGTGTGTAT